ACTCTGTTCTGTAAGGTCCTTTTTGCCTGTTGCCCATTTCCTGAGACTACTGAGGTCAGGTAATCATGGGCCTTGCTGAATCACGTGCCAAATTATCTACCACAGTGTTTCTAAAGCTATCAATTATCTTCTTTCTCTCTGGAATCTTCAACACGTCCCTCTCTATTGGCTCATTATATCAGTTGTCAAGTCCACTTAGCAAGATCCATTCTAGATTTCCCTACTCTTTCTTCCAGTTACAGGTAAACTCTTTCAGGAAGGGGTTCGTACTCAGTGACAAGCCAGAGCAATCAGAGAGAAGCCTTACTCGTGGCTGCAACTGCACTAAGGTTATTCATGACTTCTTTTTCACTAAATCCAATGGATGTTTTTTGCGTCTTACCTTACTTGACTCCTCAGGAGTTCATGACACTGTTGACCACTCCTGCATTCCTGAAACACTTTCCTTCCTTGACGTCTGTGATACTGCATGCTTCTGGTTTTCTTTTTACATGCCTGCTTCTTTGCAAGTTCCTTTTTGTATTCTGTACCTTAAATATGTTTGTGTTTGGTCCTAGTCCTTGATCTTCCTTTTCAACCCTAAACTTTCCTGGGGTATCTCAACCACTTTCTTGGCATTATCACATATACCTGAATATAGGACCAGTTTCCCACCCGATAATAATCCCTTAGAAAACAGGGAATTGCCTTATGTACTGACTTTTAAAAATTCCTTCGTATTACTAATGTCCTCTCAATTATTCTGAGCAACAAAATTCTCTTTGGGGGAATATACATTAGCAAGAAATGATCTTATTCAATGTTCATAGAGAAGTCACCTGACAGAATTGGTAAGAAAGGAAACAAATTTAATGCACATTTAGAAATTACTTCTAGGGAAATACTGTCATGTTTGTTGGATATCCTTGTAAACAAGTCTTTAAAAGTCAATATAAAAAGCAATATAAATGAATATGATTATAGTATGAATGATGTAGTATGATTAGATACTATGTCCTGGGAAAAATTCCCAAAGACAACATCATATACAGTCAAAATTTTGGTGGAAGTGAAGATGATATATTATGGTAAACTATGTCAGAAACTCAAAATGTGATCCTGGTGATGATTAAAAAAAGACTGGGAATAGTTTCAATAAAATTCAAGTTGGCCACAAAGTTTTATTGGGGGGCACAACTTTTACTTGGGAAAATGGGGGCTCACCCTATATTTAGAGGTACTTTATACTTGGGCATATGGCATATGGTATAAGCTGACGGCACACCTCTCTAGCCCAGTTCTCCCTGCTAAACTCCAGAACCATATAATGAACAGACTACTGATATTTCTACTCAAATGACTCATAGGCACTTTAAACTTGTCCACAGTTAAACTCACATCGCCTCACATCTCCTCTTACTCCTTGTCTTTTTCCCAGTGAATGCTACCACCTTCAGTCAGTGGTAACATTGACTGTGGTACCACTGTCTGAGTGGAACATTCAGACAGTGGTAACAAGCTGAAATCTGAGTCACCCAAGTCTCCACTCTCACATATGCTTGTTGTTTCTACCTATCTCCCAAATTTCTCTCTTACTATTCATTTATTTTAATCCCCTCATTTTACTGTAGGCCAGCAATTTTCAGCCTTTTTTTAAAATCTCATGGCACACATAAACTAATTACTAAAATTCTCTGGCACACCAAAAAATGTGCTTTTCGCTGATCTGACAAAAAGTAGGTATAATTTTGATTCATTCACATCAGAAGGCTATTGTTGTATTGGTTGTTTTCATTTTTTATTTGACAACCTAAGGGAAGAGAGGTCAGTGTCCCTGACTATATAGTCAGGTATTGAATGTTTTAAAACTCCCTGTGGCACTTCAGTTGAAAATCACTGCTCTATGCCAACCAGCACCTCCTCTCTAGACTACCCTTAACAGAATCTGAACTGGTTTTCTTGGTCTTTTCTCCATTCAACCTATACTCCAGGAAGCAGCCAAAGTGATCCTTCTAAAATGCAAAATAGTCTCAGTTATAAGGCTGTATAGCTTCTTCTCTGGTTCCTAGTCCCTCTTTCCTGCCTGCCCGCCCTTCCCTCACTCCATCAATTGAGACAGGTTAGATGCACTTAGAATGTTTTCCCAAACTCCTTATCTTCCCTTACCAAAACACTCTTCACACTTTTGTTGTAATTGTTTCTTTCCTGCTGGACTGAGAACCTTGTCTATCTGGATCACCATTGTGTTCTCTTAACACAGAGTAGGACCTGAGAAATAGCGCTTTTCAAATATTAAATGAATGAACCAATAATTTTACTACCTCAGTACTCCACACGATACCTGGCAAATAACAGGTCCTCAATACTATTTGTTGAATTAATGGATTGTTGTTGAACTAAGAATATGTGATTAAGCAATGTGTAACAAGCACAATTAATATTGTGCAGGATTTTGTCTTTAAGGAACATATATCCTTCTTAATTAGGCTTAATCAGAGATGGCTCCCTAGAACAGGTGGCTTTTGAAAGAGAAGGGAGTAACAATTCTTGCCTAGTGGAATGTAATGGGCAAATGTAAAAATGTCATCTGTGCAGAAGAAAATCATGTTTTTGAGTTAAAATTTGCTGTTTCTAGGAAGTGTTCTATACTGGGATCTACTTGCCTTCTTTTCCTCTACCTTGAATACTGGCTTTCAGTTAGGAATAAGCTGCAGAATCTATTGCCAGCAATTAAGCACTGAACTATAATGCCTCTCTGAAATTGGAAAACAATCTTTTTACTATAGAGAGTAAGATTCTTGCCAAGTTTCACATTCATAGAATTTACTAATTTCATATCAAAGAGCACTTAGAATAAATTTCTAGTTATTTTTGTCCTGTGCTTTGATAATGTACACTGACATACAATGGCCTATTTTTGTTGCTGTTTCTTTGTGCACTATTTTTTGAACACGACCTTCATATTCTAATTTTACTTAGATGAAAAAGGTGTTAATTTCACAAATGATTAAATAGCTCTTCATAGAGTAATAGACTACTTAAAATATATTGATGAGCCATGCATATGTGGACTGAGGTATTTAGTTGAAAAATCTTGTTGGGAGAGTAAAAATGATAAGATGGCTAATAAAATCTTTTCTTAGAGATGCGTTACCAAAGAAAGGAGATTAATGACTCCAAATGATTTATTAAAAAAGTGCTTTATAAATTGATTTAACCCTGATTTACACAGTGGGTTGATAAATTAATAAGACAGTTCACAGAAGTCATACATGAAAATAATTCTGATTATTAGCCACAACTCATATTTTTCAAACTTGGAGATTAAGCTTCATTTTAAAAAGTCATATTATGTGTTTTATAGTTTTAATATAATGAAAAATTTTCAGACTTAGAAAAAGGTACCTGAATATTAATGCTTGCAAGGCAATTTATAGTATCCAAAGAGCTTTTCTCATTAATTATCTCAGAAAACTGAATAATGATGATTACTAAAGGTTAATTAAGTAAATACTTGTTAAGTAATTGGGAGGTAATCTATTTCCAATTTAACAGGTCAATCAGGGGTATTTAGGAAATATTTTTGCTGATTAACAGCTCTAACCAAAACAAAGATATTTAAATGGTTTCCCTGGTGTAAAACAATAAACATGTATTTGCTCTTTTACGAGTCAATTGTTTCAAAGAACTGGGATGATGGTTCCTTATGCCACCGTTTTGATGATTTCAAGAGGTTTGATGAAAACTCTCAGCTCTTCCCTTCCAATGTTAAGGCAAGTCTTATATTACTGCTTATTTTGGCATTTCGGAATAAAAGGAATTGCCTGAACAAAGTCATTACGAGAAGGCACAGATACGTGCAAGTCAGAGAAACAGCCCTCTTCTTGTGGGAAGCCACACATTTTGGTTATTGACTACACAGTGAATCAAAATCCAACTGACATTAACAATGACAACACGATTCTCCAAGTACATACACAGCCATACAAAGAAATTTTCTTAAAATATTTTCTATGGGTGCATGCTATAAAATTATTTTCATCTGTATGCAGTGTAACTAACTACACGCTTGCTTTCTCCTAACTGCCTCCAGATTACCAAGTGGTTTAAGATCACATTCCTCTTGCTCCCGGTTTCCCGGCAAAAGACGTGATTTCCAGGTTCGAAAATGAGAAGTGCCCGGCAAAGACAGAGGTGAAGGTTTCAGTTACAGTCAGAGGATCACCCCGGAATCCCGGGGCTCGGCCCGGGACTCCGCACGAGCTGGAGAAGTGGACACCGAGCACCTTTGTCTGTGCCCGGCTTCCTTGGCTCGAGGCCGAGTGACGCGGGTAGGGACGCGGGTACCGCGGTCCGGGCGGGTCCCGGCACTGCCCGGGGAAGCGCGCGCCGAGGGCGGCCCAGCCGGGAAGCGGGCAGTCAGTGACGGCGCGGTGGTCCCCTCCTACGGGAGCCGCGCCAGGTCCCAGCGAGAGCCCGGCGGGCTCGCTATTGTTTTTGGCGAACACATAAATCCCCGCTCCGACCTTCGCGCACCCAGGTTTCCTCCCGGAGGCCATTCGGTTTCCTCTGAGGCCCTATATAGAGGCCCCAGTCCCGCGCTGCAAAGAGGTGCGTGTCCGCTCCGGCCTCCCGGACTAGCCAGGATTTAGAGCGCTGCTCGTCCTCGGGCCTCTGCACCCGGAGGCGTCTGGAGGTGACCGGGGTAAATTTCTTCCCGGGGGCCGGGTGGCTACCACGAAGCGGGTGTACGCGGGAAGGAGAAGGATCCGTTTCTCCGGGGTTTTCCTGACGCCAACGGGAGCGCCAGTGCGCGCCCCGCGCCCGGTCGAAGCTCCAGGGAAGAGGGGGAGGGGAGCGGGCCTGCCAGGCGGCCGCTGGGATTGGAGCGGGGGCGGGTTGCGCACGGATCCGAGGGGTGCGGGAAAGGGAGGCGCGCGTGCGCGTGCGCGGGGGTGTGCGCCCCAGGCCCCCGCCTCCTACCCCTGACTCCTTGGTCTCCGCCCCCCTCGCGCTGGTGTGCGGAGCCGGAGTCAGCGGCGGGTGGCGGCGCCTGGAACCTGGAGACTGACTGTCCCCCCCTTCGGCCCGGAATGTACTGACTCCCCCCGCTTCTCTCCGCCCCGCTGCAGGAGGGAGGCGCCCCCGAGTCTCCCCTCCCGTGAAGAGAGGCCGCGCGGGCCGGGTCGGGCCGGGCTGGAGCAGCAGCGGCGGCGGCCGCCGGAGCCGAGCCTGCAGCAAGGGACCGGCTGAGGGGCGCGCGGGAGGGAAGGAGGCGAGAGCTCCGCGGCGCAGCCGCCGCCGCCACCGCCACCGCTCGCGGGCAAGAGATGGCGGCGGAGCGGGTAGATCGGCGACTCCTCAGCACCTCCTCCTTTTGGCTCTGTTGCCTGCTGCTGCTCAGGCACTGGGCGCTGGGAGCTGCGGCCGCCAGGAGCGTCTCTCCGCCGCAGTCCCCAGGTAAGCTGCGGGCGCTGAGCGCGGGCCCGCCGGGCGCCTGGAGGGTGGGGTGGGGGCAGGGGCGCCGCACCGGCACCAGCTGCGGTTGCGGTGTTTTTGTTTAGGATCCAGGAGGAAATGTGCAGGAACTTCTCTCTTGGTCTCGGCTAGCCGAAGGGAAAGCGGATCGCGCTGGGTGGGGAATGAAGTAGGCGGGCGGGGGTGCCTCCAGGGTTGGGGTGGCCGTGGGGTGCCTCGGGAGCTCCCCGATCTAGTTCTGCGCTTTGTACCCGAAGGCAGGTTCACCTCTTGCCTCCCTCCCCTCCCCCAGGCTCATCCCACTTGTAAGAGTGGGACATTCTTGTGCTCACACAAGCACCAGTAGAGGCCACTACACACCTCATTAAATAAACAATCCTACGGCCAATTCATTAATTTTCAAGGAAGGGAAGGGGCGGGGGCAGGGGCGGGCGGGGGGAGGGGGGCTTGAACTCCGCCTTCCCTGACCAGGGATTTCCCGGTTGAAGTCCCAGGGAAGCGCTGGTTTATCTCGAGGGACTCCTTGTGCGGGGACCCCAAGGCTGCGGAAGAGTGTCAGAGGGGACACAGTTACTCCCTCAGAACCAGTGGTGTGACTTAACGATGAGGGCGCCTTCGAGAAAGCTTCAAGTGATTGTGTCAACGTTAGTGTTTCCGTCATGAAATGCTTCTTTCCCGGTTATTACAACTGTATAGCCTAACTGGTCTTAACCTAGGGATTGTTTAGGCATCGGATTTTAAATACTTGTACATTGCTTTGAAGTGGCAATATATAAATAAATTTAACCTTAAAAGCCATTTTCAGGGTTTTAACATACCACAGATTATTGAAATCGTCAGCGTTTGTATTTATTTAAATAGACCAGTTAACACCAAATCTGCCTATGAAGACCTTGTTGTGTAGTTGAGGAACAGGACGTACTCCGTAGTTGAAGGGCAAATTAGCATGTAATCTGTTTAAATTGTTTAGCCAAGGTGTTGTATCGTTAAACTTGACACAACTTTCACCTACTTGCTCGCTCTGAAATTTTGCATTTGAAAGTGGCATCTTTTAGTCACTAAACAATTGCTTGTATTCCCGAAATAGTTAAAATCACACTGCAGTGAACTTGGCTGATAAACCTTTTTTTCCTTTTCTTGCAGAGTATAGTATACTTCATGATTTTGCCAGTGTTAAAATTTTAAACCAAAAGTACCAGTGCGTATTATTTAAACAGATAGGTAAACAATAGTATTTTAGTGTCAAACTCACACTTGCACATTTGCCTAAAAACATAGTTTAGAGTACACATTTTGGCTCTGAAATGTAGGCAACTGATCCAACCCATTCTGTTCTTGTGGATGGGCAAGACAAGTTCTCTCTTTTAATTTTATATGTAAAATATTATGTATTGTTTATCATACATGTTTTAGGTAATTGGATTATCTGTTTAAAATTTTGTTGGTAATTTTGAGAGTAAATAAAGTGCTAGCAATTTTATTATTTAGGATAATAAAAATAATAAGCAGTCTCTTAGGAAGTGGTTGTGACATCTATTCCACCATTAATTCAGTTGATGGGCTTTTATTGTGCACTGATGAGGTGCAAGCCATTGCTGAAATGTGCACTCTGCCTTACTGGAGCTTGCAGTCTGGTGTGTGGGTAGGAAAGATAGCTGTTCAACGGCTAATTATATAATTAAGTAGTTGTGATAAGCAAGGCAAAGAAGAAGAATAGGTTTTGAGAAAGTTCATACTGCAGGAACTTAATGTAGCCTGGGTGTCATTGTGTCTCTGAAGTGAGACCTGAGGTGTAGAGTAGAGGTGGGGAGGCTTACAGCTAATTAATAGTATGTTTGGGTCTAGAACACAGATCTTCCTGATTCTTGGTCCAGGGGTGTTTTCCACAAACCATCCTGCCTCCTTGCAAAAGCTGAAAGAATAACTGCAATAAGTAGGGGCTTGGTCAGTTCTCTGGTCAGTTGCAGAGAGATCAAGGGAATTGAGAACTGAGTACGCAGCTTATGGAACGAAATGTCAGTAAATTAGATGTCATTTGTCAGTGGTTCATTTATTTATTTTTGTTGTAGAGGGGTAGACCCAGAAACCTTTCTGTAGGGGATTACAGTAAGTGGTAGGGGAATAGAGCTATTTGATAGTAAAAAGAGAAAACTGGGGTATGAGACAAAAGAGTAAATGAAGTGTTTAGGGTTTTTCCAACTTTAGCATAGACTGCAGACACGAGGAGATGGAGGAAAAAGGAAGGGAAGGGCTAGTGATAGAAAATGGTTAGCAGTGGTGGAAGGATTTCAAATGATTAGGCACGATATGGTTTTAGGAAGGGCAGATTACTGGAAAGATATGTAGGGACCTAAGGAAAGGCAGGACAGAAGGATGACAGGACAAGAGTTGTGTAATGAGGTCTTTTCTAATCAGAGCGAAGTGGTGAAGGAATGGCAATGAAGTGCAATTGGGATGCAAGAATGGTGAAGGTTAGGAGGGTTAAGAGTTCATTTGAAATCAGTTTGAATTTGAAGTAGACTAGATCAGATATTTCCACACTTCCTGCAGCAACATTTTGTACCCCAAGAGCAGAATTAGTGAAAAGTTGGAATCCAGTATTGGTTGCTTATGGGGTACATGAAGTATGTAGACATTTTAAAAAAAGTTTTATTAGAATAACCAAATATCATATTTATTGGTTAGATTGCAAAAGAGTATTTGACGAAATGTCAGGGTGTTGAGGCTAGCCATGACCTGTACTGCAGAGGTCATGCAGCTACAGTTTTCATTTAAGGTAAGAATTCTCTTGTCAAGATCCTACATAGATAACGCTATCTACTTTCATTAGTTATTTGATATGTGGTTCATTACCTCACAAGGTACTCTATTTCTGTTTTCAGTAACTTCTATTAGTAACCTTTGCTTTATATAGTATGTTTAACTTCAGTTTTTACCCCCCCACTTCTTGAATTTTTTTCTTTGCCTATTTTGGCATCACCCTATCTCCTGATTCATCTCTTCTTTGATCAGTTCTCCACTTGTTTTTCAGGTTTTTCTTTCACCCTCTCATTAAATATTGATATCTAAAATTGATGTCATTGTATCCTCTACTAGTCTTCAGTTGCTCCCTGTGAGCTAATGATTCCCGTAGTCCATTCTTTGTCACGTGCCACTCAGTAGCCTCACTGAATAGGCACCTTATATTAGACAACACCAAAGGTAAATTCATCTTTGCTCTTCTTCCATCCTGCTTTCCTCATCCCTTTTCTCTGGTCTGTAACAAACCAATTCCTGGCCCTTGACACTACCATTGTTTGAATGATTGCATGGATTTGTCTTCCTGTGTTATCTGCATTGGGCATCACTGTTCAGCAGTCACTCAGGGTGAGATCTAGAAGTCATCCTGGACCCTCCCTTTCCCTCATTCCCATAGCCAGTAGTTCTATGAGATTTTTACCTCCTAGATATTTTTCGAATCTGAATCTGTATCTTTTCATCATTATTTCCATTTACACTGACAATATTGGCTATATAATTAAGCTCCATATTTCCACAGTTATCCTTCAGAAGTCTGTCCTTCTGGAATGAGCTTTCTTACGTATTTTTCTAAGCATGCCACTGCTACTTACGGTCTCTTAATTAGAGTTCCATAGCTTGAGTGTTAGAGCCTAGAACACTAGAGAGTATTCTGGGCATGGAGGTTGTGAGGTCCCTTGTGTTCTTTCCCACTGGCCTTCCCTACCCTCAACTTAAAGCCGCACCTCGGGGCACCTCTAATGTGTACCTGGTGTTCCCACTCCAGGTCAGCTGCAGAGCTTCCTGTCTCCATGCTGCTCTTTTTCCTGTTAATGCCACTCCTTACCTTGTCCACTTCTGAAATGCTTACTCATCTATTCAGTGAGTTTTTCTGTACTAGCCCCACCCCCAAACAATTAGAGTCATCATTCTCTGTGTTCCCATAGTTTTCTCAGTAATTTTCATCTGTGTTACTAATTTTGTCTCCTCTACTAGTTTGAACTTCTTGAGGATTAGGACTTCTCTTATTCACCTCTGTATGCCTTGCCTTGTGGAGCACAAGATCTGGCACAGAGTCAATAACCAATTAATGTTTGTTGAACAAATGTTGAATTGCCTTTGCTTTTCAACTGCTTGAGTCTTACAACACATCTCATTTGTTTATATGATGGCCCTTCATGTGTCCAACAATAAAATTTGTGTGTGTGTGTGTGTGTGTGTGTGTGTGTGTATCACTCTCCCCTTCTTTCTAAGTTAATCAACTTTAATCCTTTAGCCACTCTTTACATTACTTAATTTTCTGACCCATTCATAGTGAGTTTTGTTTCCTACTTGGAATATGCTTTAGTGTTTGTTAGTTTTGTCGTCTTTGATCAATGATTTTGCTAAGTTACCTGAATACAGGGGCTTATGCCCTGCTCTGCCTGCCTAACAGGATGAAGTATAACAGAGTTTACAGATTTCCAGGATGCCTGCTCAAAGGAGGTAAGGAATGTGATTGCTCTTAGTAGACCATATGAAAACTAATAATGTGATGTGGGATAGTGAAAGAAGACATGATATGGAGGCAATGTATTTGGGATATGATTTGTGGTTCTCTGCTTTCCCATATAGTATCTGTTAGGGGTTGTCAGAAGAATGATATGTAAAATTGCTTTTAAACTGTAAAGTGCAGTACCTATGTAGAATGGTTTTAATGTTTATGGACTTAAAAATATAATTCTGTTAATTTTTGAGAGTATATATATTTTTTCGATTGGCTTAATCATTGTTGGTTTCATCTTCGTGAGTTTTCTCTGTGCTAATAAAAAATACTAGGGCAATGTTAATCTCATTATGTGGGGCTCTGTTTATCTAGTCAATAGTTTTTATTTGCAAACACTTTATTACTGACTTCTATGTGGTTGGGAGGTATTTACCATGCCATTGGTAGGTGTTTTGGCTTCTAGGTAAATTGCATCAACAATAGGAGAACAGATGAGGGG